CGTTAATATTTATTGATATCGATACCTTTATCGATACTCCTTATCGATCCGAGTCTTTATCGATACCACTATCGATACTTTTCTGTTACTTGGTGGAAAGACGATGCGACAATATTTAGCAAATAAATAATTGTATTTTAAATTAAATGTAATTTTTAATAAATGTTGGCATCAGTAGTTTAATTATATATTCCAAAATAATTAGAGCAATATACAACTGTATTACTCATGTTTTCGCCAAAACCTCAATTTCCCGTTTCTTTACGTTACACTTGAACGCATCATGATAACCTAATTGTCGTTTTACTGAGCCAATCTGAACACATCATCACGCAGCACGTCTGAAACTTTATTTACTTTTCAAGCTAACTAGCTTGTATGCTGCCGATAACAACACGGATTTCACAATTACTATTGTGATAATAAAAAAAATGACCAGACTCGATAGTGGTATCGATAAGCCCAAACGTTATTGATTTTCGGGTTTTGAAAAAAGTGGAACCGGGTCCTTGATGGAACCGGGTTTCGATACCCATCCCTAGGGGCCGGGGTGGGGGGGTTACGGGGTCGGGGGGGCTCTTACGGCGTCTCCAGCATGACTTTACACACGGTGGCCATCGTGCTTAAGCAGTCCGTGGTGTTCTCGATGGGCAGGTTCTTGTTCTGTAACGGCAGAAATCAAAGCACTCACAAAGGGAGCTCAGGTTTCCAGCTCTCCCACCCAGACCTGAACGCACCACTTTTAACTCATTGACTGCCAGCCATTTTCAGAACAGAGAGTCCCATACTGCCAGAGTTTTTTGAGCATTTTGACTGATTTTTCAAGAGCCACAGAATCGTTTGTGCTATGACTATGTAAACACCGAACACACCAAAAGAAAGAGTAGACTCCCTTGTTTCATCAGGAAAAAAACATTTGTTTCTACCTTACTCCGTTCTTCCTCGACTTGCGTCTCACCGGCGCCATGTTCTCTCATAGCGAACCGTTTTTCTTATTTGCCTACAGTCTATGCTCATCTCCCATCAAAAGTGGCACTGCCCCCTAGAGGGTCAATTTGTTAGTACATACTCTGTCTAGAAGCCGATATTTACGGACAAGCTTTAGCAGATCGTCCCCCAAGCCACTCGCGTTGAAAAACATAAAAGACGTCTATAAACGTCTTTGGCAGCCAATGAGTTAACTGACCTCCCATCGGACCAGAAGAGGTTGATCTCCAGCTCCATCCTTTACACACTTCACTCAACTAACAAACTAAAACTAACAAAAATATTCTTGTGTGCCACTTAAACCCTTAACGGCAGGGAAATGAATGTTTTTAATGAGCAGATAGACATTTTCAAAGCTTTCATTTTTGTATTTCTGGTCATATTTTAACGTCATTTCACCGTTTGAAAGAAAAAAAACCCAGCAGCTGATTTATTTTAGGAAGAATCATCCCTCTAGTTCACTCTTTCATGTCTGCACATTAAAGATGATTCTTCCCCAGACAATGTGTACGGCGCCTTTTGCATAAATACAGAAAACAAGCTGCCAGAATTCCTCAAAGGTGACGAAATGGAAGTTTCATCCTGTTATTTCTGGTTAGAAGATGGAAGGAAACTGTTCTTTTTCATGAAGCTCATATGCAGATGGTCAAATGGACAAAAACATTTATTGAATACTAAATCTATTTGCGTGACCAAAATGCCATTAAGATCCTGGAAGTCTCACCTCTGACACAAACTTGGTCGTCCCGTCACTTAGCGCCTTCAGCATGGGAGTGGCGTCGGCGTAGAACAGAGATATCCGATTGGCCAGCTCGTTATTGACTTCGTTCTCCCCCTCTGCCTGGAAATAGATGAATAATAATAAGCTTTCTGTGAGAACCCCCCCCTCCTCTTCCCCCGATCCCCAACTAGCAGATTTAGACAGTTTGAGACTTTTCCGTGGATGTTTCAGACCTTCGGCCGGCCGTGATGTCAAAAGTTAGTTTTACCAGAGCAACACTGGAAGGGAAATGTCAAAACTGTGGAAAAACAAAAGGAACCGCTGACTCCTGATGAGACGGCTGACAGAGCAGCGGGGAACGCAGCTTTAAAACCTCTGAATTTATTAACCCTGTAAAGCCAAATGTATCATATCTGATACATACGGTTTCTGAAATGTTTTGTGTCTGACATCTTTTGCTCAAAATCCCATTGTACACAATCAGATATACCTGATAACAGGGGGCAGAAGACCACACGAAAAATAATTTTGACTTATCGCATAGTAATAAATTATTAATATCAAAAATGTATTTCTGTTTTTCTTTTTACATATTTTGTTAAAAAGCCAAATAAGGAATTCAAACAAAAAAAAAGTAATTTTCTGTTTTGTTTTCTTCTTGGATCGGGCTTTAAAGGGTTAAGGAAACAGAAAACACACGCCGGTCCCCAGACATCGTCCAGCAGCTCCGGCAGACAGACGCATTTGTGCTGCTGACAAATGATTTCATCAAAGTAAATCATGACAGGAAAATACGGAGATGAACCTGATAACCGAGCCCTCTCTGCCCCCCCCCCCCCTCCCAGCTGACTAACGCCTCCTGCTGTGTTCCACGCTCAGACTAAAAACACCTGGCGGCTAACGAAGAACAAGGCGTCTCTTGAGCAGCCCGTTCTAAATTTGGCGTCGGGCTTCAGAACGGGAACGCGTTTCCAGCCGTCGTCAGGATTCTGACAGAGTCTGAAAACGGACGCCCAAACTTTCAAGCCGCTTCGCCTTCTAAAGGATGCTGACAGACCGGCTCTGAGGCTGTCTGAGGCGTTTCATCTCAGACGTCTGAGCGAGTCAGATGGCTGAGCGGCGACTAAAACGGATCCCAACTACAACTGATCTGGGCCCATTTCCCCTAATTGAACACTCAGGTCGGAGGAAGAAAACCCCATCAGAGGAGTCAAAACAGAGAGAGTCATGATACCTTAATCCACCTCGCCTGGACTGGGCCTGTGTGCGTCTGTGTGTGTGTGTGTTAGTGTGTGTCCCTTTCCTGGACCTGTGCCTTTAACTATGAGGGAGCTGCACCTGCTGAGCAGCTATAAAAGTTAGCTGTAAACTGTTAGCCCCGTTCTTTAGTTTGAAGTCTGAGAATAAACCAGAGCAGACCAAGGGTACAAAAATGACATCTAAAATCCGGGTGTGATGGACATTGATCTTCTGGGCTGTTTCTGCCCCTTTGAAAAGGAAGACTGGACACAACTGAGTGTTATTGGCCAGTTAGCTCTGACATGGTAAGGCCAGGTCCTAATTCATGCAGATGTCATTGGAAAGTGATAAGAAAGTGTGTGTGGATGTTAAAGACGTGTATCTACTGTAACAGAGAGAGAAGGACAATCTGTGGGGACACCCAGAGAGTGTAGTTCTAAAAAGAATAAGACAGTCAGTCATTTACATGGATTATGTTATAGCGTACAATGCTAAAGGGAGTTACTGTAGCCCAGTTCTAACAAAACGTAACTCTGATCCCAAAAAATGCAACTTCATGCTTTTTCTCCGGCGGCCTCGGCGTGCTCACCGGTATGTTGTTGATCCGCATTCGACTCAGGGTTCTCCTGTAGTAGCTGAAGTCGTTCTGAATGGCCGGATTTGTCATCTGTAAAAAAAAAAAAAAAAGGGGAGGATGAAAGCAAAACGGTGAGGCGGGCTTCTGTGGGCGGCACAGCCTGCAGCAGGACGTTCAGCTCTGGGTCAGACAGACATGCAGCTTTGGGGGGAAAAAAGAAGAAAAAAAAAAGGAAAAAGAACACCGAAACGATAACAGCTTTATTTGCTGAAGTGAGTTTCAGTGGTCGGACACTAATTTGCTTCCTCGCTCCTCCTGTCACCACACATTTGGATGCTTTCTGCCTTGGTGCTGACAGGAGAGCTTACATGGAAAAAGCAACAAAAGGGTCTCATCAAAGAGAGGCGAGGGCAAATGAGGCCTCGCCCTCGTATGTTTTTTTCTTTTTCATATACTCACGGCAACATAAAAGCCGCGAGTCAGTTTTTCGTCTTCCTTCAAATGATAAAACCGACCGGTTTTAGACTTCAGGACCTGGCCAATCGGAGAGCTCCTCTCCGAACGGCACCACCAGTGAGAGCTCATTATGGGGCTAATTATCCTCATTCCTACATGAGCCTGTCAACGTCAGGGCTGCGCTGGCAGCCGGCTAATCCTGCGACAATGGACTGGTACTCAGTCTGTGTCCACTGTGTCCACCAGGAGAGACGGGCCGCTCTGCCAGGGAGGGGCCGCACGCCGCTCAGACACTCTAACTAGGTCAGAAGCCCGTGCATGGGTGTGAAAGATTGATGAATAGGCCTGGCATGCCACCTTACACCCCCTACCTTCATGTTTTATCTTGCCAGAATGGGCAGTGGGTACTAATTGGGGCGTCGCAACCAATTGCCTCAGGGAGTCGGGGAGCTGTTTTCAAGTGTTTGTTTTGAAGGAGGAACCAGTCCGTCTACTGTCTGAGTGCACACAGACAGATATTTACTTTTAAAAATGGACATTTGAGCCGCATCCACGCTTGACGCGCAAGGTTTTTCCGGCTTTTCCCCCTTTTTTTTCCGCCTGAATTCCAGACGGAGAAAAGGTGCTTAAAGATTCCTCCCTCAGCAGAATAAAAGCTGCCGCTCTGCAGAATTCAGTTTAGGACGACAACCCGTTTCTTTGCCTGCTATTTACCCTCGTCGGCCACTCCGCAAACATCCAGTTCAGCAGAGCGGGGTTTGGATTAAATGCTAATCATTCCCCTCGCAAGGCAGCACTTTGAAAACGCAACAAGTCTAGATCAGCTCAGGAATACCAGCGGCCTGTGGGATGACCGGTGGGTCTGGTTTGAAACGGGGAAGAGAAGAACAGAGTCTTTTAAAAAGGCGTGAGAGGTTATTGTTACCTTTTCTCTATTCTCTCATCCTTTTTTAATTTAATCTTTTCTCTCTCTTTTTTGTCTCTTTTCCTGTCAGGTTTGGCATTAAAACATCTTACTTTTGTAACAAAAATAAATCTCAAATACATAATAACGCAGTATTGGATGATCAAGGGGAGGCTTCTCACCCCGACAGACCTCCCATGGCAAAACAAAAGTGTCGGGCAGAGCACGAAACTCAGATTACAACTCTGTTGCCATAATGCTGAACACGACAAGGGTAAAAATATCAAATAAAATAAAATAAATAAGAATAAAAATAAATACAATAAAATAAAATAAATGAATAAATAACAAAAATAAAATAAATGAATAAATAAAAAGGTGAGAGAAGGGGCCCGTTGGGGCGCCGGGGGTCGTACTTTGAGCTCGTCGAAGCGCAGGGTGAAGTGCAGGATCTCGGCAAACTGCTTGGCCAGCGCCTGCTCTCGCTCCAGGTGCTGGGTGGGGTCGCTGTAGGTCTCGCTGGTCAGCGCTCCCAGGAGGCTGTGCAACGCCGCCTCTGTTGGGGGGGAAAAAGAAAAAAAAAAGGTGGATGTCAATGTGATGGTGCAGCACAGTCAGAACGCCGTGAACGGAGCAAAACCCTTAAAAAAAAGACCGAGCGCTTCCTGGTCGTCAGTCAGATAACGCTCGGCTTTTCTGTCCCGCAGGCACTCTGTGAACAACCCCGGCAGCTTTGAGTGGAGGCAAAGGTCAGGAGAAGGAAGAGCTGCTGCTTAGAGCGCTGCAGGGTGATGAATTTTCAGGTGAAGGATGGTGCATAACGTTCCAGGCGCTGTGCCCTTATTATTTTCAGTTCTATTAAAGCTTGTTTCATAAGAAGTGATGCATCCTCAAGATGTTTCACCTTTCCTCCAAGAGCCAAAACCATGCAGTCATGACACTCCTGCTCTGCACAAAAAGCCTCCTTGTACTGGGTCTTTTTAAATTTGCTTCTTATTAATCATCCTTTTTTTTTTTGGGTGGGTTACTATTAGCGAAAATAAACAAACTCGGCAAAATGTATTTTTCATTAATATTTTAGGGAGATTTGTTTACTCAAGAAAACAAGTGATCCAAAGAGGCTCATTTGTTAAACGTATTTTTTAACCTAGCACGTGACTGTACTGTTTAATGTTTCTGTATTGTTTCCATGTGTTAAATAGTACTTATAAAAAAATTTAACAGTCTTTTTAGGCTCTTAATAACTGCTTATTCTTATTAAATAATATATAATCACACATTTTAAAGAACTAATAAATAAAACCAATATTTAATCAACAAAATCAACTGAAACATTTGAAATACTTTGTAGAAGAAATGTGTTCTGCATGACTGTAGTTTAATAAAAACGAACCATTAACGCGGATCAAATGCCTTCTTGTGTGCATGCAAACTCAAAAATGGCCCCAATTCCACTCCAATTTGCCTCAAAGGGCACTTAAATGTGGACAGCGCATAAGATCAGTGGAGAAAAAGGAGGAAAAAACGCCTCCCTCGTCTCGTGGTCTCGGCGTGAGGTCAGGGAACAACTGTCGGAGTGGATCACAGCCACGGCCAGATACGAGAACAGTGCAGTGTGTCAGCCAGCTGAAGCATCCTGATTAGGACGGAGACAGATAATGGGGCAGCGGTGGTGCCCAAACTGCCCAGGGCCCAATGCCAGTCTCAGGAGGGGTGGGGGGGGGGGGGGGGGGGGGCACTCGAGGGGTGGAGAGGGCCTCAGAGGCTTCCCTGTTCAGATGCAGATGAGACACGGGACTAATTATCTTATTGGCATGAAAATGAAACGGAGGAGTGGGGGTGGCATTTTTCCATTCAAGGCGGATTACGCTCATTGTTTTGGCAGTAAGTAAATACAAAGCCTGTGCCATGCCTTGACATGACATACCCATGGACCGATAATTAAGGAGGCATGAGGACGACGAGCGGGAGAACGGAGACCACACTCAGTAAAGCGCAGCTAAAACTGGTATTATTCAAACCGCCTGCGTTTTCTATTCCTTACAAAAAAAACAAAAAAGGAACTAGAAAACCTTTCAAGCCCAGAGGGAATTATTATTTATAGATGAACGCGGTGCTTTGAGTTCAGGCTCATCATAATATGAGAGAGCCTTCAGAAATGATATAACCTGAACGAGCCGAACGTCTGACGCAGCGAGCCGGGGAATGAGGTTGAAAAAGATTTACTCCGAGAGCATTTCTCAATTCCGTCTGATTACAAACGTTGGTGCACATGTCAACAGAGGCTCGGCTTCATGAGATCACATGGAGGCTTTCAGGAGCCGGCCGGAGCCAACGGTGCCGTGCGGTAGATTGAGCACGTCTGCCTTCCCCTAATGACTCCCATCTGCTTGGGCCAGCGTTTGGAGCAATAGAGCTGATTAAAAATGGCCTTAGCGGTGCATTTACCCCCACCCCCAGCCCAGCCCCCCTTCTGTCTACGTCCCAGTCAAAACAGAAGTTAAGATGGAGCTGCTTTTAGGCGGTCAAAAATGAGCCACTCTAGGATGTCGGGAAGTCGGCGAGGGGCGGGGGGGGGGGGGGATGTCTGATCTCATCAGGTCACGGCGGAGCAGGCGAGCAGAATTTGGGCATGTGGGCACTTTGCCCGGATATGAGGGCAGGCCGGAGGATGGCGGGACTCTGTGCTGTGGTTTTGAGGCTTCAACTTCTGACCGACTCCGGCTGAAAAGGGTTTTCTTTAACAAAAGAAGAATGCCTGAAATCAAACCAAGAATTTGGTCAATTAGCATACAGGCACAGGGATTAACAGTCCTATCGGCCTGGTTTTCACTGCAAAAGGAATAGTTTAAAAAAACATCCCTCCAGAGTCTTAAAGTTGTGGAAGATTTGTGTTTGATTCAAACCTTTTTCTGACCCGAGTACATTTGACTTGTTTTTAGTGTAAAAATTTAAGTAATACATGAAGTGGGCCCGAACGGAGCCTGTCCGGCTAAAGAGTTTCTGTTTCAGCATGAATTAGCATCTTCCGATGTGAGGAAATGTGCACATTTAAATATGGGTACGGCAAAAGGGCAACTGTTTTTGAGAGGGGCGGTTTGACAGCGTTAGTCCAAAAGTGACATCAGAAAAAGCATCTGTGGAGAAATTCATGAGGATTAGGATTCATGAGTACGGTTGTTCTTCCCATTTCGGGGAAGGTTGACATGCATTAAAGATGCTCTAATCAGGCCTGCTCATGTATTGTTGATAGAATAACTAGCATTCATTCATTTTAATGTTCCATGCTTTCTGTTTCAGTGAGACATAAAACTGATGTCCATAACTATTTATTTAGGCAAGGAGACACTAGAAACTAAAGAGGGAACTTCAGCCCTTAATCGCCACACGCTAAAATAACTGTGTGCTTGTTGTCTTTCTTTCTTCTTCTTTTTTAATTTTTTTAGCCCCCCTTCTCTCTCTTTCTAAAAGATCTCTCTCCTTTCCACTACTCTTCCTTCCCCCTTGTTCTTCTGTCAGGTTCGGCATAATTGGACAGATGTTTGGTAACAAAAATGAATAAATAAAGCAGTTTTGGGTAATCAAGGGGGGCTTCTCACTAACAAAGCCTCCCTTGGCAAAGCAATTTTGTTCAGCATAGAACGGTACTTAGATTTCAGTTATTATGCCATAATGCTGAACAGGACAAGGTAAAAAAAATAAATAAATAAATGTGTGCTCTGGACAAATGTTCTTGGGTGTAAGATTAGTTTAGCTGTAACCACAAATGCTGCCATCACTGTTTGATCAAAAACAGCACAGGGGAGGAGGGGGGGGGGCACTTCCCTTTGAGCCGGATATCAGCTGTGGGAGGGTTTTTTTTTTTTTTGCTGGATTTTGCTGGAGAAATGTGTCATTTGGCCTCAGAGTGAGAGCCAATGGCTGCGTGAGCCGCTCTCCTTGGGAGTCCTTTATCGGCGCATCGCTCCGCCCGCCCGCCCTCCCGCTGTAGGCTCTCAGCCTCATGCGTGTAAGTCGGGGCGGCAGGCTGTGGAGGCCGACATGGCCCCCGAAGCCAAAAGTCAAGGCGGTGAATTGGAGCAGCAGCCGAAGCTGCGCGCTGACCTACTTTGTTACATAACAGCCATCGCCGGGCCGCCTCCGCCCACCGCTCCCATCATCCACTACCTTCTCCGCCGCCGCTCAGATCGCCGGGTTTAGGGCACCGAGGCGTGACGTGATCACCCCCCCCCCCAACCCCCCTCCCCTCAGCTCCAGGGTCATAAGAAGATCAGGGAGCGGTAAGCCTTCCTCCCCACCCCCACCGTCTCCGGCAGGCTGAACCCGGGAGCTCGCTGGGCTGCGTCACACGAGTCTGTGGACGCGTCTGTGGCCCGTCCAGCTCAAAAATCAATAACACAGACGGGCAATTGAGGTCAGGAGTGGAGGTTAGGCCTATGTGAAGCCACTTGAAAAGACCTTTCGTATTCAGGCGATCGATTTGATGGTGTTTATAAATGTAAAAATGTCCTCTGCTGCACATGTGAGAGATCCAGTGGAGCGCTCATCAACGTTTAAAAGAGAGTTTGAGGGGACTTTCTCAGCCCCGGTGTGAGAGCCAGTGATTCCCGGTCTTGCATAAAGAGGGAGTCATGTACCTAATCTCTGGGAGAACTCGTAGAACTTCTTCAGCTTCCCCACCAAAGGGACCACAGCCGCCCAGGCCTGCTCCTGTAGTGCCTCATCGTTTGGATTCTGGATCGCCTGGAAATGACAACAACCATCAGTTTAATTGTTTTTTTTTTGTTGTCTTTTTTATTTTTGTTTAAGGCTTAAGGTTAAAGTGGTCATTAGAGGCTGTTTTGGGGCACTCCAGTCTGTCTAATTAAACCTTTAGCCTTTAATATAATCTAAATTATATTAGACCTTTCTTTTTTAAATCTCTTTAATCTCTAGATGATTGTGCTGATTCAGAAGTGTGTATAGGAAGAATCTGTAAAACGCTCCCGAATCATCCAACTGTCGGAGGCCACGAAGCCGAAAAAAACAAAACAGATGTCACAGCTGATGAATAAATACTGCATGAGTGCTTAATTCAATTAGATCAATCCATCCCCAGACGGAGGGATAGAGTCTGTTGTAGCTGGAGGATGGGCTGGCAGAGGCTAGTGAGAATGTCACAACACAGAGAGACGCGTGTCCTCAGATTCCAGTTACAGGGAACACCGAACACCGGGCGTACCTCTCTGATCTCCTGCCCCGCCCCCTTGTAGGCCTGCAGCTCGTCCAGGATCCCCTTTGCGTCCTTCAGCACCACGTCCACCTGCTCCCACACCTCCCGCTCCGCCTCTGTGGGCTGTGCGTCTGCAGAGGGGGGGGCCACAGGCATTTTTCATCACTCGACTCAACGTCACGGAAAGTTTCCTCAACCGCTTTCGATTAAGTTAACGAACGTTCGCTTCAATAATCTTATCAAGTTTTGACACCGCCCGTTTTTCCTGCCCCGATAGTGGGAACTGAGATAAGCGAAATGGGGAGTCTTTGCTCCCCCTCCTCCCTTTTTATCAATTCAGAAATTTAGGATTGAGGGGATGAGGCTGCTTCATTCCCCGTGATGTTTGAGAACAAAAAAATGTGATGTTTCTCAATTCCAAGCTGCATTTTCATCAGTGTATAAAGATCATTTTAGTGGGAGTCACTTTTTTTTGGAATGAGCACATCTGAGAAAGCCCAAAAGCTTCCCGGATACATAGCTGCATTAAGCATGTAAAAATGGGATGTACTTTAACACAAAAACACCTACAAACAGTCTGAGCCAAGAAGCTGTTCTCTCTCATGGTATCATGGAGTCTTTGGGTTTGCCAAGAGTGAGAATAGTACAGCGCAGGTTCAAGCTGTGTTGAGGGGCCTTAGGCAAGGCAGCAGCTGAACCTCAGTGCTATACATCTGAGGTGAGGGGGGGGGGGGGCTCTGATTGTTATTCTGCACACACTTTGCTTCGGAAAAGGCAGGTTTGATGGAAAAGTGCAGAAGCTCTAGCGCAAGATTTGATTTTTTTTTTCCCCTCCTTTTTACGCCGGGAGAAAATTGTGAGGAGATAATAAAAAATGGGCTTAAAAGACAGAAGAGTCGGAGGCTGATAATGGTTATATAAGATATTCATGCGATCAATATCAGGGATTGGGAGCGATTGCTTGCACGGAGACCTACTTTCAAAATCGAGGAAGAAATTGGGCTCCTGTTCCAAATCTGTGCACGTCAGAACTTTCAGTAGGTTCCCCATGT